ATATGAACACCCTGACGTGTTTTGTCTCTGCAATGCAAGGTCTGCGTTGTATGCGTTTGAGCACCTCGGTGGTCAAATAAAAAGGGGCAGATGGTTTCGGAACCTCTTCGGCATGCGCGAACGGCGGACGCGCACGTGTGGTCCGCATTGCGCTACTTGACAGAGTTGGTAGGCGCGCAATGAAGGTTTAACATTACTGGCATCCGCGCGCACGTGGGCCGCGTGCTCTGATCTGACAGTATGGCTGAATACCTATGTTTTCTCAAGGACTGAGCGAGTGCGCGCGCAGATTGTGATCGAGTGAGCGCACGTTTGTTGACGTCGCTGGAAAAATCGTGTTTTGTTGTTCAACACATGGTTTTTGAAAGGAAAATGAAGCGCGCGCTCGCCGCGGCGCGCGGATGTGCCTGGTAGTGTGGTGTTGTTGCAATCGTCGCTGTTTTGCAATGGGGACTCTTCTACAAACGACACCTCTTCAACCAACGCACCGCACGTCATAGAATACAATGCGCACCGCATTGTATTGACGTGGGCAGGGAAGGGGTCGCTGTCAGGATGACGTGGGATGGACATGTTGCAGATGGAAAATGAGAGATGAGACAGAAACACATAAACATCACAAAAACAAGCACATAAACACCGGCCTCGAGGGGAGGGATGGTTGGAGACTGTTTCTTATCCCCGAAACGATTAAAATATACCTCCCCGCAGAAGTTGGGGTCATCGCCCCCCGTCCGCGTGCCAGCCAGTTGCAACAACACAATTAAGCCACCCCAACCAAAATCAATATTGACTCCCCGTCGCAGCCATGTCCAACGACAAAACAGTATGCTGTGCACATGCGTTGATCTAAGCATTTTTCTTATATTAGAAATCGCAGGGCAAGACGCAACACATGCGTTAAGGGGCACACGCGCGCGCCGAAGCTCGCGCGGGTCGAGTTCAGCCGAATATTTGTTCAAGACAACCCCAAAGTATTGCTAACCCAAAACAGTCCAACGCTTGTTTCTCATCGAAACAGTTGTCAAGCATCTGTGCGCGAACGCTCGCTAAATCTAAAGGGGAGGTGTGATATCTTAGCCACTCGGTCACATCAAAGTATGCCGGCCACTTGTGCGCGCATGTCGAAAACGTTGAACCACCATCGAGCGCCCACTTACCCTGGTCACATACTATCATGCGGGCCACGCGCGCGCGCGTCGCCGCGCCCGCGCTTCAGCATCCGTCCCACACCTTTGGCTTTGGCAACAAGTTAGCACAGAGGCGTTCAAACACATACGAGGACCAATTGACTTTCAATAAAAAACGTGGCACGACGTCTGCACTTCTGCGGGCGAGTACTTTCTCATCATCCTCACCAGGACAATCGTTATCATCATCGTCAACGTCAATAGTGACACCACCATCATCGTCCTCATCATCATCATCATCACCCGAATCATCGTCACCATCGCCGGGATCATCGTCACCGCTGTCATCGTTGAAGTCGTCGCCCTCATCAAATTTCTGTGCGTGGGCACTCCGTCGTGATGATCACCAATGCCCTTGTCATCATCATCGCCAGCGTCATCATTGCCACCGTCATTCTCATCACCACCATCTTCGTCACCATCACCATCGTCGTCGTCGGCATCGTAGCACCCTCATCTCCACTGCCATTGCCGTCGGCATCAAAATCATCCCCCTTGTCATCACCCTCGTCATTGGCACCGCACCCGTCACCAGCACCACCAACGCGTCGCGATTTGGAGAGCGGACTCGTCTGCGCGGGGGAGTTCCACGCGCGCGTGCGCTCGTTGTTGAGATCATGGCCATCTGAGATTTGCCAGCAGACTGCGGGTGAGCGGGTGGGTCGGATTTGTTTGCTCGATCCTTGAAGGTGGGCACGTGCGGATGTCACGCCGCGGGTGCCTTGCCATTTTGCAACGGAAAATTTACCAACGTGCGCCCCTAAGAACCACCTCGAACCCTTGCCATGCTCGCACAAATGTCCCGGCCACCCGCCGGCAACTTGTTGGCACAACTCGAATCGTGCAATGACGCGGCGACCCCTCTCGCGCAAATCCGTGACCCTGGCGGGCGCGAGATGGCGATGCGGATGAACACTGGCGCTGGTGACGAAGGCGGCGGTAACGACGATGACGATGATGATATTGATGGCGGCGGTGGTGGCAATGATGACGACGACGAATATGATTGTGTTGAAGGTGTGGTGATGGTGACGGCGCTGGCGATTATGATATCGCTGGTGCTGCTGAAGGCGATGAGGAAGCGCGCGCGAACAAACAAAAGGCGCACACAAGGCACTGTTATGAAAGAACGCTCCAGCCTAACAACGAAACCGACTCTGCAAGCCTCGGTCTCTTTACTAGTGGTCTAAGTCTAGATGTGGAAAGCCCACCAACAACTGCAGCAACATAGCGACAAACACCCGCAGCATACTCATAATGATGAGCGACATGAAGGGTGGCGAACTGTCAATACAAGTCTAAAGACAACCTCCGCACTCTATCATGTAATACAACCTTTCGCATCCATATATCGATGGGTCCCGAGGGAATCCGGGCTCTGCTCCAGAGACTGGTTTGTCTTCATAAGCGCTATGGGTGTGGTTTCAGTGGGTCGGGCCCACATGGCTTCGAGAACATGTGCGCACAGCAACTTATTTGTGGAAAAGGTTTCGTCGTGCGCGCGCGGAGACGCGAGCGTGTGGCCCGCAGGGTACTGCTTGACAGAGGTGTCGGGTGCGCGGTGGCTGTCGAATGACTTCGGCATGCGCGCGCGTGCGGCCCGCGCTGTCTCTGCTAAAGGAAAGGCTACGCAGAGACTGGTTTCCGCACGCCTTCAGCGAGCGCGCGCGAGTACAAAGCCTGGCAGCAATCGAAAACACAAGGCAGTTGATGGTGTTTGTCTGGAGTGTGTTTGAACACCCTGAAACCAAGGTGGAGGGATTTTGACATGTGCACGGATGTGGGTCGCATGGTGGTATTCCATACGGAGTCTGACAAGACGTACTTGACATATCAACGAGTGTGCTCTGCATGGCACCATCGGGGAAAGATGAGAGAGGGAGTAATAACCACCGTGCGCAATAACCATGAACATGCAACCTACGTAGTGCATTTACTTTTGACCGCATCCGCGCGTGCCCGTCTCCATTGCCTGCGCAATCATCCACCCACCCAGCCGCAACCTATTGGCGAAAGGTAGCTGTGCGGCGGCAGCGACGATGACGATGGCGATGACGATGATGATGTTCACGACGACGGTGGAACGATGGAAACGATGAAACTGATAGTGCTGAAGGTGGAAACGATGACGCTGGCAATGGTGATGACGATTTTGCTGGTGACGATGATGCAGAAGCGCGCGCGCGGAAACCTAGAGCGGGCAACGACACCGACGAGGACGATGATGACGGTGGCGGTGATGATGATGATGATGACGACGACGATGATAATGAAGATGGTGATGGTGACGATGGCAGTGGTGACGCTGACGACGATGACAAATAATGTGCTGACGAGGATGATGGGGAAGTAAGCGCACGCAACGCATCGAATTTCCTCTCATACTTCTAAGGGGTGGTCGTGCGTTTTGGGGTATGTTCGTAATGTTCTCTGGTTCACCAAACATTGTTGTTCTACAAAAAAATAGCAAATTGCATGGTACGGATTTCGACGTATGCGCGCGGAGACGCGCGCGTGTGGCCCACATGTTATTGTTTGACAGGGCTGGCGAGCAGCGATGGCCGTGAAACGTGCCCGACATGCGTGCGCGCGTGTCCCGCATTGGCCTTCTTTGACGCGCTGGCTGGCAACCTCTCGTTTCCGCATGGTCTCAGCGAGTGCGCGCGCAGACACCTGGCAACTTGTCGCTGATCGATCAAAAAGGGAAGGTCTAGAAGAGTATATAACGCCATAGGCATGGTCTGTTGGCGCTCCGCGCGGATTTCTTGGATCTGCGCTGGCCTCCTGGCGCGAGGATCGCGCCAGGGGCGGCGCTGGAGGCGCCGCCAGGGGGGCCCAGCGCGGATCCAAGACACCCGCGCGGAGCGCCAAATGTTTATATGTATGTTGTTATTTTTCCTTCGATATTCTCAATGTTTGAATCGCTGTATTGAAACGGTTCGAGAACTGATTGAGCTCCACATCCTAAGCATGGGAGTCGCGTTATGAGTGTGACGCCTCCGCCTCGCTCACCTTTCGCCGCCTCCTCCCTTGTCACTCCCATACTCACGCGTACTCAGAACCACCGACTCTCAGACCTACTCACTTTCAAAGCCGCTCGTACTCAGACTCGCTCATACTAGACTCATCCGCACTCAGACTCGCCCACACTCAACCTCTCACACTTAGACCCACCCATATCCAGACTCACTCATACTCAGAAGCCCTATGACCACCGTGATCCAGCTGGCATAGCACCTGAGCGCCACGAACTGGGGGATCCGCCAGGCGGTAGGACACTTGCGCGGTCGCGCCCAGGTTGTGGGGACGTCTCGAGCGAGGCCCTCGTTTCGCGGCTTCGACTCCTCCACTTTCAAGACAGATTGTGGGAATGTCTTGGGCGAAACGCTTGCTCTGGCACCCCGTTTGGGAGCCGCCAGGGGGAGTTGCCCTTGCCCGTTCGCGCGCCCGTAGTCATTGCGGGGGCGCCCGAAGCCCGGCGCTCGGTTGGCGGCTCCGACTCCTCTGCTCTCTGCTTTCGGAGCAGCCTGTGAGGCTGCCTCGAACGAGGCGCTCGTTCTGGGACCCCGATTGGGAGCCGCCCAGGGGGGGTTAGGACACTCGCCCGTGCGTGCCCAGCTTGTGGGAAGGCCCCGAGCGCGGAGCTCGCTCTCCGCGGCTCCGGCTCCTTGAGGAGCAGGCTGTGAGGAGGGCGCCGGCGGCGCCACACGCTGACTACGCCAGAGCTTCCGACCGTAACTCCGAAGCCTTCACCGCGAGCACCCTGTGGGGAGCAGCGGGGAATCGGCTGTCAGCCGCGACGCAGCCAGCCTCGTTCAACGAACCCACCTCCGTGTACAGCAGCGTGACCTGCCGGGGGCACAGACCGGACCCCCCCGAGCGTCGCTGTACTGCCACAAGCCACGGTGCCGCTTCTGCCCTGCTCCTCGCATGCATGCCTAGATTTGCGGCATGCGCTGCACACGAGATGGCATGACTTCGCAGGAACTGGGAAGGGGGGCTCCCTCCTCCGCCGCTCGAAGTGGCATACTCCGCGAACTCTGGGCTGAAAGATGGGAGCGAGATGGGAAGGATGAGGAGGCGGATGAGGAGGAGGAATGAGGAGAAGGGCGCGAGGGGCGGGAAGGAGTCGGGGTCGAGTTGCAAGAGAGAGGGGAGGGGAATGGAGTGAGGGAGGAACAATAGCTAGGATCACTAGGGCGAAGATATAGTGGTAGATGTGGTGGGGGGGGGAGGATCATGCGGATGATAAAGGGGAGGATCACGAGGAACGGAAGGCGGTCACGGGAGAAACAGGATGGGGGAAGGTTGAGGAGAAGAACGTGGGGGGGAGGAGGGAGGCGGGAAGAGGAGCAGGCGGAGGAGGGTTGGAGGAGGAAGGGGGGAAAGGGAAAAGGTGGAGGGATTGGGGGACAAGCACCTCCTCCTCCTCTACTGATCCTCCTCGCCCTCCTCCCTCCTCCCTCCTCCTCCTCCCTCCTCATTGATCGTTCCTCCGACTTGCTCCCTCCTCCCCTCCGTCCTCCTCTTTCGCCTCCTCCTCCTCCTCCTCCTCCTCCTCTGGCTCCTCCTCCCGCTCCTCCTCCTCCCCCACCTCCTCCACCTCTCCTTCTCCTCCATGTTGCATGTGGCATGCTTCAAAGGGGAGTCCGAGCACTCCTCGGGCCCGCTCGGGACCTCATTGTGGGATCCTGTGGCCTGGCACCCCCAATGCCCGCGCGCAGTCCTCCTGCGACCCTGCGGCGAGGGTGCTCGGCCACTGCTGCAGTCCTTGCGGCAGCAGTCCGCGTAGCAGCCGTGACCTCGCCCTCTTCCCCGTGCTTGTGGGGGGGAGGCAAGGTTCCTTCAACTTAAAGGCTCGAGTTGACGACGCCCCCCCCCGCTCCTGCTGCAAAATGCGACCCCGCGGACGACGTGGAGGCGCGGGAGGTGTGTCGTGTGAAACCACTGGGCGTGATTCGGGGCGCATGGAGATCCGAGCCAAGACTCCTTGGTCCCGCGAATCTGGTACCTGAAGCAGATTTTGCACCTGAGGCCCTCGGGGGCGTCTTCCAAAACATGCCGGGCATGGCCCCGCTTCTTTGGGGCCTTAACCCGCCCCCGCTTCTTGGGGGCGGGCGGCGGGGCAAGGGCAACTTCCCAGAAAAAACTCCTGAGCGGCGGCGATTCGATTCTGGATGAGTTCTATCTCACGATCAGCTTCTAAGACGGGGCGGGTCACCCAATCAGGAAGTTGGACTCGAGCTGCTGCATCTGTTGCTACCTGATCTACCAACTGGTTTGCCAGGTACGCCCAGGGCTGGATGTTGCAATCCCAGAAATCATTCTCCGTGGGGTGGGACTTGGTCTTGTGGAACTCCATGGTCCCGTCGAAGCTCTGATGGGCCTCCCAGAACTTCTCCCATATATCTACATCGCATTTATGCCGCCAGAGGGGCCCTCGTAGGACTCCACGATATACATATGCTGAATCTGTCACGATGATGATCTCACCTGCTAGGTTCTGGACGGCCTTGACCACCGCGTAGAGCTCTCCGCGGTTGACCGTCTGTTTTCCTGGCAGGCCCCCTCTTAAAGTTCCTATGGTATCGAGGTCGGAATCTTTAACTGCGACCCCCCAGCCAACTCTCCTCAGCCTCGGATCATTCGGAAACCTTCCTCCTCCAGCGTCGGTCCCCACCAAAAACTTGCCCTTGATGGCCCCCTTGGATCATGAAGGTCCCCGTGGCTCCGAGGGTGGCTCTGGGTGGTTGTTGGTCCAGGCGCCCTGTCGTAAAGTCAGCTGGCTGCAGTCCTCGTCCCCATTTCACTGGATAGGAGGGAAACTCATCAATAGCCTTCTGGATGAGGTACTGGAAGTCGAGGACTGCTTCATCGGTACTGCGCACGTGCGCTGGGCATGTCCAAAGGCGGTGAAGGTCGTCCTCCACTGGTGCTCCACACCTGGCACATCGCGCTGACTGGCTTGGTTTACATTCGTGTACTCGGGCGTTGGTCCAGATCGAGGCCTTCCCGAGGGCTTGGAGGGCTTTGGCTCGAATGGGCTGGTTATCCTTCCGAAGCTTCCGATAGGTCTTCTGAAACTGGAACGCGTCGATCCCGAACTCAGCTCCCCCTCCGAGATGGAAATGCGAGGCCCTTTCCAAGATAATCCGAGACACATATTCGCTGAAGTCGCCCAGGAAGGCCGTCTGGGTGGGCTCTGAGATCTCCAGGAATGAGTTTATACCGTTGATTGTCAGGGAGGATCCATCCCCAGGGCCCCGCCATGTACACTCCTAGGTCATGAAGGGTGGCAATGAGCGCGGAGAAGAGGGAGGTAACCTTACTCCATCGGGTCTTACTTGCCAGACGTGCCACTGTAGGAGACCATATTTTCCCTATTGCTTTGTGCAACTCTGGATTCTGGTTGACCATGTCGAACCATGTCTTGACGACTTGCATGGGGAGGTAATGCGCAGGATCCTCCTGCTGCTGTCCCCGTGCTGACAAAGCAAAGCCTGCCGTCGTGCATCCATACTTGGGAACATATCCGAGCCCTCGGACAAGTCGCCCCCGAACTTGCTTGAGAACTGTCGGCGCAATACCTTGCCCCTGTTGGCCCCAGAAGAGCTGTGGACGGGCCCCCGTATTGACCAGCTTCCGGCTCCTCTTGGTGGTCCTGGTGAGGTTGGTGATCCCGTTGAGCCTCTGGAGCCCCTTCTTGAAACGTTCCTTCCGAATCTTCAAGCGCCTCCGTAGCCCCAAGGTAGTGTCCAGGCCGAGATCCCTCCCCTGGACACTGGTCTTGACGGCCCACCCCAACTCCTTGGTGCGCTCGCTTATTTTGACGCTCAGCCCAGGCGCCGACGCGAGAACACAGGATTTAGGAGAGAGCTTGCAACCATGGGCCTCGAGCTTCTTACCCAGGAACGCCATCGCCTCTGGAACCACCTCCAAGGTCCCCCTAGACGAACCCCAAACTCGCAACCTCAGGTCGTCAACCCAGGTACGAAAACGAACTCGTGGAAACTGGTAGCGTAAATCTTCCAAGATGTTAAACAGAAAGGCGCGGGCGAGAGATGTTGACTGGGCGCAGCCTTGCAGGACGCTGTCGGCCGGACACGTGGGCGACGAGCATCCTAGCGAGGCAGAGGACAGGAATCTGGCTGCTTGATGAACAATCATGGCGTGCATGAGCGGGATGGTGGGATATTCAAGACTGATGGCCTCCCCGCAGACATACTCCGTACAAATGGTGTCGAAAAACTTTTCGACGTCAATCAATGCCTCTGCTGGGGGCATCTGCAAACTGGTGACCAGCTCCGCTGTCACTTCACTCAAAAGGGCTGCTCGGAGGCACGATGATCCTCGGATGGCTTCACCCCAAAAACCTGCTCTTTTTGAATCCCACGCGGCGAGGCCTGGGCGGTGCAACTTGACTAGAATCCGATAGAAACTGCTGGTATGGGTGATGGGCCAATCGGCTTCGATACTTCCAGGGAGGAGACGAGCCATGTTGAGTAGCACCTGCGCGGGATACTTAAAGGTCGTCCGAACCTGATTGATCAGGTCGGTGACGGCAGTCTTGCCCTCGGGCGGCAGGGCGTCGAGCTCGCGCGGGTGCCACAAGTCAGCACCTCCTGCTGAGCTAGGGCTGTGCCTCCGAACAACTTCAAACACTTCGGCTTCTGTCCAATCAGGCTCCTGGGCAGCACGCTGCTGGGCAACTCTTCGGAGCTCTTGAAGCCAGGGGGGATATTCAGGGCACTGGCGGGGCCCCTTTGGGCTCCAGTATTTCTTCCAATAGGTGAGCTTATGCTGCGTGATAAGGACGGGGTCATCGGTGAGGGCCCCATTTAGAGGTGCCACATCTTGTTCTTCAGGAGGGGGGGGGGGGGCCCTTGGTGATGGCATGTGAGATCTTACCTCCTTTCTTAAGGCCCCCCTCGATCCACTCCTGGAAAGCCTTCCGAGACGCCTGATTTTCTTTCTTCTGGAAATGTTGAGGTATCTGTTCAAGATTATTCCCAAGAGTCTGCCCTGCCCCAATCTGGAAATTGGCCTCGAAAACCTCTAGGTCCGAGAACTGGCCTGTGACATACTCGAGAATGACATGTTTAATCTCGGGGTCGACATACTCTGGCCATCTGAGATTGGGAATAATTTTGTTCAAAAGCGCCTGCAGTGCAAAAACTTGTGCATGGGGCCCAGGGCGTCGCAGGAAACGATCAGGATCCTGCGCGCGTGCGACGATCAGCTGCCACCGGTGTGCGTCGCTGGTGGCCGGCCCCGTCTGGGGCGCTGGCGGCAGCAGAGGACGCCTGAGAAGTTGCGCACACTGACCTCGCTGCGGGGCGGACTGGGATCCCACCTTGTTGTGGGTTTCCTGCAGCTCCAGGGCACGACTCAAGATGGCAGAATCTCGGGTAATCTGCTTGCTGACATGCTGGGCGCAGACGGGGTAGGTGGGTGTGAGGTTCATGCTCTCCTCCTCCTCCTCCGCCCTCTCGTAATAGTATTCCCACGAGTGCTTGGCTCCAGAGTATTCTTTGGGGAGAGGGGGGGCCCGACTGCATGCCAAAATCTCCTTCTGAGCGACTGCGCGTGCCAGAACTCCTGCCGCGCCTAAGTGCGGTCTCCACGGGCCCCCCAGGACTGACGTGAGGGAGGTGTCGAGGGCAAGAAGCTGGTCGACCGCAAAATAGTCCAGCATGCGATGCCCATTCGAGCACGTCCACGTCGTATTTTCTGGGGCAACCAAGACCCCACGTACCCAGGAAGGCCACTTCATGGGTTTCTCCAAATCTTCAGGAACAACATTCCAGTCCCCCGCGATGAAGTAGGGGAGCTTCTGCGTGCGGATGCGGGCGGTGAATTCCGTGCCGATATCACGATTTGCTTGGTTCATCCCAACCCCTGAAATCAGATATACGGCGACAACCAAGAAATTCACCCCATCGAGTTTGATAATACAACTGGTCCATCGGGTCCCTATTGCAAGAGGCTCGATGTGGCCCTTGGCTCCCCTGACCCGAGCGTCAGAAGAGAGGTGAGATCGAACCCCAAGAAGGATCCCGCCTTGGCTTCCCTGAGCGGTGGGTGTGGCAGGGCAGAGATATGTCTTCCAGCCACTCTTCTGGAACTTTCTCCGAGCATCCCCATGTCGGTCTAGTGTGAGGTGCGTCTCTGTCAGAACACACACGTCTGCTGTGAAACGAGAGTCCAATATATACTTCTTAGCGGTATTGTTCCATGTAGTGATATTCGCGGCGTAGATTGCTAGAGACCCCCCCTTCCCACTTGCATTTCCCTTAGCCTGAGAGAAGGACGGGTAGCCAAAATTGGCCGCGTAGTCTATGTACGGGTGGTCGGCGATGGCTGCCTCACTATTGCCCACGAAAAGCGTGGCCATCACGAGCAGGAGGAGGAACTTCAGTTTCGCCGCCGTCGATCTGCATGGTGTTCTCTCGCCGTGGGCTGGTGCTGCGCCGCTCTGGGGGCTGCGATGCGGCGGCGCGCCTGCCGCGACCGCCCTGGGTCCGCCCGCCGCTGGGGCCCCCGCTGACGCCCGCTCCCATGGCTGCCTGGCGGGCAGCCCTCGCCACTGCGCCTGGGGCGGGCGCCGCGCCTGCCGCCGCGGGCCCTGGTGGCGCCAGGAACTGGGCGAAGATGCGCTGCTCGGCTTCGCCCATGGCCGCTGCTCCTGCGACTGGGGGCGCGGGCACAGGCTCCGGTGCCCCTTCCTCTGGGCGCACTATGGCCGCCCACTCCCTGGACTTTGCGGCGGCCGTCTCTTTGGCTGCTGCTTCTTGAGCCGCAGCCACTGCGAGGGACTCCTCTGCTTGCTCCAACTCTTCACGTAGCTGTTCGACTCGTTTCTGACATTCATCCTTGTATGCTGTGGCCCTCTGCATTGACCGCTTGGCGAGGCTGACTTGCTGCGATAACTGGGTCCCACGGTCGGTACCCGTCTCCTCATCCTCATCCTCGCCTCCGTCAGCAGCGGCAATGTACTGCTTCTTGAAAACCTCCAATTGCGGTCCCCCGAGAAGCCCCTGCAACCCCTGGACGATTCGCATGAGCTGCGGGTCATCCTCAGTGGGCTCCTCATTCTTCGGCATATTGGAGAGTAGCATGGCCCCGCATTTGCACAACGGGTCCTTGTACGCACGACTGATCCATTTCCATTTGCCACACGTGTCACACACAACATACTGCTTATTCTGCTCCTGCTTCTTCCATTCACCATTCTTGTCCTTGGACCAGCTCCTCCAGTCCGAGGTCCAACCTCCGCGGCGGCCATCTCGCTGCTGCTGTCTGCTGCCACGCTGCAAGCTCCAGTTCGCCATGGGCTGCTGCGCGGCACTGGGTCCGTGGCCGAAATGGCCGTCACTGCTGGCCGCGCTTGAGCGAGGTTGGGAAGTCCAGGAGCAGGCCCCTTGAGCCAAAATGGCTACGGCTCCTCCTTCTCCTCCTCCTCCTCCTCCTCCTCCTCCTCCTCCTCCTCCTCCTCCTCCTCCTCCTCTGGCTCCTCCTCTGACTCCGACTCGTCCTCCGTCTTCCAGCTCCTCCGTCTCCTCCTCCTCCTCCTCCTCCAACTCCTCCGGCTCCCCCTCCTCCTCCTCCGCCTCCGGCTCTTTTGGTTATTTTGGCTCTTTTGGCTCATTCGGCTCCTCAGGCAACTCCTCCTCCTCTCCTCTTCCTCCACCACCTCCACCTCCTCCTCATCATCATCCTCCTGCTCTATACACTCACTCAATACGAATACTACTCTCCTCTCCCCCGAAGATCGCTGCTGTCTTGTTGCGCACAAGATTCCAAACGTTGAGATGTTCTAGGCTTGTTCAATCCGCTCCCAAAACGGTGCTGCCGCTTGGGCGCGGGCCTGATTTTAGCATCCGCGCGTTGCTCCTGTCGTTCAGACTGGCGCTGTCGCCAGAGCGCGTGCCACTTTTCTGGGTCCGCGTGCGTCCTCGTCGTGGTCGGCCCGCTCATTTCCCCTCCCCCGCCTTCCCCTGGTCGTCCTGCTCCTCCCGCTTCTCCCACTCCAGCTCCTGCTGCTGATGTTCCTCCTCGTCCTCCTCCTTCCTCATCCTCCTCCCCTTCCTCCTGCTCATCAGCCACCTCCTCCTCCAATGTAAGCAGCCCCCATTTCCCGATTGAACACGGCACGATGGGTCCTTTTTTGGAACTCCAGGCCGCTATGGCACGCGTCGGCGGATAGAGTAAAAATCAACACCGTTGGAAGGGATGGGTGGGAGGGGTAGATTGTAAGATATGGCGCGAGCGCGTCTACCTTGCCTCTCTCATCTCTCCCCTCTCCTCCTCCTCCCTTATCCTCGCTTCCCTCTCCTCGCTCCTCTCTCCCCCTCCATCCTCCCGAGGGTGCTGAACTCAGCCATGCCCCTCCCTCCCTGCAGCGACCAGCGAGGTGGTAGCGTCTGTGCCCTCGGCGCTGAGCTTGGAGGGCAGCCCGCTGCGCAGCGGCGACGGGAGGGAGGGGGTGCCCGGGCGCCCCGTCCGACCCGACCCTGCCGTGTACTGCCTGCACTGCATTTCCTGGGACGCCGGGAGGCGCCCAGGCTCCCCAGGGGGTGTCTTCGAAAATTCGCGGCGGGCGGTCTCCAGGAGGGGAAGACCGGGCAGGCGGGAGATGTCCTCCTCTTCCTCCTCCGCCTCCTCCTCCCTGTCCTTCCAATCCTCCTCCTCCTCCTCCTCCCCTCCTCCTCCCTCTCCTCCCTCCTCCTCCCTCCTCCTCCTCCTCCTCCTCCTCCTCCTCCTCCTCCTCCTCCTCCTCCTCCTCCTCCTCCTCCTCCTCCCCCTCCTCCTGATGGCGGTCGGCCTCGACGAGGCCCGATGTCTGCAGCATCTGGAGCTCAGGAGTAGGCATCGGCACGAGCTTAGACTTTTCGCAGACGCCCGCCTGGACTTTTCGGATCGGCGCGCGGACCGCGCCAGCTGGCGCGCGGGCCGAGCCACGGGGCAGTGCCGGAGGTGCCACCACGGGGCGTCCAGCGCCGACACCACCTATCCGATGGGCTCCGGACAGTTTAGGCTCATCTGTTTGTGCGTTGTGTCCGGGCCGCGCCGTCGCGCGCGCGGCCGCAACGCCAGACCTTCTCTGTGTGCTGTTCGGCCCTCTCTCTCTCTCTCTGTCCTCCCTCCCTTTGCCCATCCATCCTCCCTCCTTCCCTCACCTCCCTCATCTTTCTCTGATGCCTCTCTGGCTTCTTCTGGGCTCTGCCTGATCTCTCTCTCTCTCTCTCTTTCTCTCTCTCCCTCTCTCTCTCCCCCACATGTTAATTAATGTTTAAACGTCTAGATCCATAACTGTTCCCTTCCTCTGTCGCTCTCTCTCTCTCTCTGTCTCTCCCTATCCCTCTCTCTCTCTCCCTCCCTCTCTCTCGTTATTTCTATTGTCTTCCTCTCTCTCTCTCTCTCACTCTCTCTCTCTCTAAATCAGAAGTGCCAATGCGTGGCAATATTCCCTTCCCGATGTCTCTCATTAGTTACTTTCTCTATCTCTCTCTCTCTCTCTTCTCTCTCTCTCTCTCTCTCTTTCTTCTCTCTTTTTCTCCCTGTTCGTCTCTCTTTCTCGTGGGGCAACACAACGGAGAAACTTTATGAGATCCGCGCGGATTTCTCGGACGGCACTAAACACCCCGTCCCTTGGCACGCGTGCGCACGCCAGGGGCGGTGCCCGAGGCGACGCCATGGGGCCCTCACCCCAGAACATTTTTTGTCACCGCAGGCTGCGCGCACGATCTGTTAACACCCTCTGTCCCCCCCAGCGTCAAGTCGGGCGCGTCCCCCTATACAGGGGGACCTTCGACGAAAAATACGCAAAAATACTCAACAAATAATTCAAACTTGTCAAAAATACAAAGAAAAAATCCCCAGACTATTTTTTTGACAATTTTTTGACATTCCCCCTGTAGAGGGACAGGCCCGACTTAACCCTAGCGCCGAGGCTGCGTGGCAGGGCGGCACCACCCGGGCGGAACAAATCGTGCCCCCCTGTGAGAGCAACCGAACTACTGGTGCAAGCCACTGTGCCCGGCGCGAAGCCGCCACGAGAAAAACAATGAGTGTCCCCTCCGTGCGCCGGCCGTTGGCCAGAGGAGTTAAGCGGGAGGAGGAGGAGGAGGAGGAGGAGGAGGAGGACGAGGAGGAGGAGGAGGAGGAAAAGGAGGTGGAGGAGGAGGAGGAGGAGGACACTCAACATGTGAAACACGTATCCAGAGTGGCCCGACCGAATCGCCGTTGTGGTCGATACCTGTTGCGCCTTGGCGGCAAAACTCCCTGAATGGGATGTGCGCCGCCTCCACCACCCCATGGCGGAGGGCACCGCGCAGACGGTACAAAGTGCACAATGCCACCCCCTGCCGCTGGCACAGGGTAGCCGTGGAGGTGCCCACCTGCACCGGCAACTCCTGTAGCCCCAGAAAAACGTCCAGCTCTAATCCGGACGCAAAAGGTGGGAGATGAAACTCGGAAACATATTTTTTCAGTGTGGGGCAAAAGGCAGGGTGTTCCAGCTTGTCCAGGCCGCCGCCGCAAGCAAATCGGCAGGGGCCTGCGCCCTGGAACCTGTCGTTCGCGCGCCAGCCGTTCAAGACGGTCCGCAAGTAGGCGGCTATCTCCCGGGGATGGCAGTGACCCGCCAGTTGCTGTAGGTGTCACAGTGCCGGCGTTGGTCTACGCCCAGGGACATTGGCTATACTCCAACGATCCAACCTGCGCCGGAGATGGCGCTTCGCGTGTGCTCCCGGAAGCCCCCGACAGACTATCGTGACTCAGCGCTGCCATCCCGGTCGATCTTGGAAACGCAGATCCGTCGTTGGAGACGCTGATCATCTGCGAGACCTGGATATCCGCGCGCGCCAACTGCAAGAGGAAACATCGAGGGCGCCACGCGCTCAGCCAGGCCTCCCGGGCGAGGGTGCTGTCGACGTTGCTGAGGAGCGCATCCATGCGTCTGGCGCGGACGTGCACATGCAGGTCGCCCTGTGCCTCGAAGAGTACCACCCGGCCCGATCGTCTCGCAGCTCCCATGGGCAGCCTAGTGAACGGAGATCCGCCAGTGCTGTGATCCAGCCCTCCATGCTGTGGGCAGGCCCTGGGAAGAGCGCACCGCATGCCCTGTCTTCCGCGGCGTCAAAGTCATCGGGGAGCGGCTCCAGCTACCCCTGGAACGAGAGGACGGACGCCACGTGCACCCAATAACCGACTGCCCCTGATAAGAATCTCCGGGGGATAATGAAATTCGGGGTCTGGCGGGGGTAATCAACGATTTTCCCGGCGGAGGTTGAGGATGATGGGTGCCCGATCGTGAATACAAGCGTTCCTGGGCAGGTTCAGGACATCGAACCAGTCTCTGCGATCACAGGCGATTGGGGATCGATGTGTGCCCTTATGCCTATCCCCCCCTATCGCTGCCCCTGGGGCGAAGAGGCTCGGTGCCTCGAAGAGGCTCGAAAGCTTGGAGTCTCGGAGACTCGGGGAAGCTCGAGACTGGGCAGCTGCGGGGGGGTAGGAGGAGGAAGAGGAGGAGGAGGAGGAGGAGGAGGAGGAAGAGGAGGAGGAGGAGGAGGAGGAGGGGCCACGAACGTGTGTTGGATGCGCTAAACAAAATAACTCCAATGCTCTGCCTGCTCGGAAAATTAACTTCAATCAGTCCCTATGGCCCTGCCACACGTTCCGGACTCGGGAACGGCCGAGGAAACGAGAATCCCATGGCCCTGCCGCACGTTCGTGACTTGGGGAAAAAATGCGAAATTGCGATATCCCATAGCCCTGCAACGCGCTCGTGCTTCCGAAAGCTGAAACGGTGAGACCCCCATTGCCATGCTCAGCGTTTTTGATGTTGCTGCTAGTCAACATAAGATGGGCATTCCCGATTTCCTCGAAGACGGCGCGCAACGCAGGGAGGTGCTCAAGAGCCCGCGGCAAGACCGCAGCCAAGTCATCCGCCCATGCCTGGAGGTTAGCCGTCGGAAAGCGCCGTTGGAGTCGACGCAAATGCAAGTCGGAGACCACCGCGGGCAGAAGCGGACTGAGAGGACATCCTTGCCGCATGCCCCGTTAAATTGCGAATCCACCGAATCGCGCGCCGCTCAGCGAGATCACGCAGCGTTTGTTCCAATGCGAGCTCTGTCGGACATTCCGCAACCACGCGGGCCAACCGAGGGCGGCGAAGAAGGCGCGCAGGGAGCCATGCTCGATGGGCGGGAACGCCGCAGCGAAGTCGAAGAAGAAGGCGTATACCCCTTCCTCCTGCAAGGCGGCTACCAGCATGGCCTCGTCAATTTCTAGTGCGTTCGAGATCATCAACCGCCCAAGCAAGAACCCTTTTTTGCAACTGCGCGACACGTTCTGCGAGAGCGGGCTCGACGGCCAGGCGACAAGCGCTCGCCGGCAGGCGATTGGCAGTGTTCAACTGTAAAGGTCGCACCCCACCTGGCTAGAAAAAACTCCCGCCTCTGCTCGGTCGGCCCCGCCGCCTTCTTGGGGAGGGAGATCAGCAAGCACTCGTTGGACGACGGGTAGTCTTGCGCCAGCCTCGCGAGGGCGCCCTCGGCGCAGCAATCCTGGAAGGCCTCGAGCAGCGCGCCAGTGCTCCAAGGCGGCGCCGGCTGAATATGGAATCCAATTTGGGCCCGGCGCCGAATCCCCCGACACGGCTATCGCTCGCCGCATGTGCCGCTGGCTCGTTCGGACGCGATGAACCTCGGAGTGCGACGGGGCCCAGCCCCCTGAGGGGGCGGGGCCAGCCGGGGGCCCCCCCGTCGCGCCGACGCGACTCTCGGAGTCCTCGCGCAACCACGCCTGGAGCAAATCCGCATTGATGCCGTTGACTTCGAAGACCTCGGCCCAGTGGCTGTTCAGCGCGGCCGCCAAGTCCTCTGGAGTGGTCGCGCGGGTGCCGTCGCGCGATAGCAGCGCCTGCAGTGCAGACCTCCGCCCGGGGGCGAGGCGATAGAGGTGGCGACTGGCTTTGCGCCGTGCCTGCGCCGCTCTGGTTTGCCCTCCAACTCCCTGGCCCTGGAGAGCCCCCCCGTTGCCGGCGGGCCCACGTTGCCGCCGAGCTCATGCGACTTGACACCAGTAATGCAAGATAAGAGTCGCGTTGCAGGCACATTGAAACCCATGGCCTTGGCCTCGGCGGCCCTCGAGAACTTCGTTCCCACCCCGAGCTTCGCCTCGATCGAAACGACGGCCCCGTGTTCCCTCTCCGCCCTATGCAGATGAGCCGCCGTCGCTGCGATACTCTCTTCCATGATTCGCAGGCGGCGCAAACCGGGGGCCCGCGGCTGCTCCTGGCAGCGGGTCTGGAATTCCAGCGCCGCCCGCCGCATAAAGTCTGGATGCCCCGCGGGCCCAGCAGGTGAGCGACTTGGCGCGCGACGGGCAAAGAGGACTGCGCGATGGCGTGAAAGACCCGGGCGCCACTCCAAGGCCACGGCACGAACGTCG